TCTCTCTCTCTCTCTCTCTCTCTCTCTCTCTCTCTCTCTCTCTCTCTCTCTCTCTCTCTCTCTCTCTCTCTCGGTCTTCTTCTTCGTTGTGGTCTCTTCTGCAGGTGCGCGGCAGCTTCTCCAACCTCCAGGTCCGCTATGGCGGACTTCTTCTCGTGGCGGCCACCTCAGCTATGGCGCATCACTTCCTGCACACGACGGCGGGCATGGAATAGCGGGTACCAGCTCTGATACCAATGCAATCAGACTCGCTTTCATTCACACTTTACATGCATGCAAACAGTAGCGCAACAAACTGGCGACATGCGCCCACTTAACACTCAGAGATATGGCCACCCAGGTACGAGTTCACTTTCAATGGCTATGGCGGCTCAGTGCCCAAACAACTCTGTTCGCATGCACCGGATCACCCTGGATATCCCACACGCGTCTCTCTGAACACACACACACACACACACTGGACGCTAACTACAGCTATGGCGGCGATGGCCGCCTCTACACTATCGCTATGGCTAAGCTTCGTCTTCCTTGCCCACTTCGCCTTCGTATTCACTGCAGACCTCCTTGCACAAGTCTCTGTGGCAGCGCTTCCGCATGGCTCATGCAGGAATGAATCAATGGCTGGGCACTGCCTCTTGATTTATACTTCTGCAGCTCGTTGGTCTGGCCCTTTTCCCATGCCCGAAGTGTACACAGTCCCATGCGGTACGTGCTTGACTGACTGGGGACTGGGACTGTTGACTCAGCGCGGTGGACTTCCACCACTTGCCCACTTGCCTACTTGCCTCACCACTTGGCCACTTGCCTCTGCCTAAACGTGGGCAACTTCGAAAGGCCACTACTGGTACCTTCCGGAAGGCCGTAGACTTGGCCTTTCGTGACTGTAGCAGCTACGACTCTGACCCTTCTAGACTGTAGCAGCTACGACCTTGACCTTTCGGGAATGCTACAGCTACGACGTCTAGACCTGACTAAGGCTCCTACTCGACAGGTCTATAGCTCGAACCCCTGTGACCTCAGGACCCTACGACAGTCTACCGCTGTTACAAATACACAGGTCACGGGTTCAACTCTAAGGGTCGGCACTGATACTATACACAGGTAAGGTTGGGGTCTAGGGATCGAACCCTGGGATCTGCAGCAGCTACTGCTAACTGGTGAATACCGTTTCATAAGAAGATCAGGGAGACAATTGAGCATGTGTTCATGCAATGCCCGGGTACGGTATTACTATGGAGAAGATGGGACTGTGTGTGGAACGGATTAACGGGTATTGACTGGTCATGGGACTGGACAATCATTCTTTTGGGACATTGGGAACAGAATGAGACACAACTTTCAGAATTTCAAAAAAAACTTTTTCGAAATTGGTCGGAAAGCCATCTTGTGGGTATTATGGTACAAAAGATGTGTCCATGAAAGGGAGGAAGGAAGGATGGAAGGAACAGAAATTGTCGATCATATTGCCCAATTTGTACAAACGGAAATACGGGCGCAGTGGACAGCTCTCCGTGCAAAGATACAACATTTTCATCAAAAGAAGGATATCCTTAACAGTATTCAAAAATTCAATGTAGACTGGCTGGGGGGAGATGAAGGAGGAAGCTTGGGAGAAGTGAAATGGCCGGGAGGGGAAGAGCAGGAGGAATCTTTAAAAAGGGACTTCCGCCTGATCTTCAGAGACTGGTTTTCACTCTAACCAGGAGTCACTCTCAGATCCCCAGAATGTTTTCTTGATCCCTTTCCTCCCTCAGAATTGGTAATGTTTGATATTCAATGGTATGCTGTGGGAGTTGTTAAAGCTCAGAGGTATGCTCAGGTCATTGGAGTACAAGATTAAAATCTTCCATTTTAAAATGCTGTTGGGTAGATCTGCTAGAATGATTCACTGTATCTGGTGGCTCAGAATGGGCTGAAGAGGCAGGACTCTACTCTCAAAACTCATAATTTCTCTCTTAGTTATGTAAGGGACGCTGGACCCGGTTTCCAGCAGGTGCAGCTCCCCACTAATAGATGGAGCGGCCTATCATAGGTCTATTAGGGGGGGCTGCTCCTATCACCTTCCCTAATTGATCTATATTGGCCTTTAAAAAAGAAAAAAAGAAAAAAAAAGAAAGAAACTACACTATGGTGCATGTTGTTCCGGGCATAGGTTAAAGTTGGAACTATACAGAGAAGAGTCGCATGGCCCCTGCACAATGATGAAGGATGACCCACATAAGCCGAGAAAAAATGGTCCAAATTGCAAAAGGTAAAAAAAAAGCAGAAGGAATGATGATGCACTTGTATCCTGTATACTCAGAATATATATATATATATATATATATATATATATATATATATATATATCGTCAAATATATATATATATATATTTGTGATATATATATATATATATATCGTCACAAACAGAACTGCCCGGTAAAACCGTAGGCAGAGAGAGAGAAGAGGACAACAAACGAGGGGCTGTGACAAACTGTTTCGTCGGAGTTTCACCGAC